GCAAGTATAGTCAAGCTATGCACCTGAGTTTTGCTATCGACATTATATCCCTGAATTTAACTTTCAGTCACGTATGTACACGGAAACAGCACAAAAAGTCTTGAAGATAACAAAATCATTTTGGGCCAAAATTTTACTCGAGATATACTTGATAGAAAACCATTTCGGGTAAATCTTTATCGTTAATTAAATTTCCTTGGCTCAAACAGATTTTTATGTATTACTATGCAACTCACGAATTATGAAGGCTTCTCATGAAAATTTTGTGCAGCATTTCGTTGTACCAGCATTATACATTATACAGAGCTTGAAAAAATTCAAGGAAAACATCCGTATAAAAAAGACCAATTAGCATCCCGATGAAGATTGAGGTATTGGTCGACTCAAACGAATGGGTTCCCAAAAATAAACCCGTCGAACTTAAGTAAATTAAAAATTTTTGATCCACATGAATGTTGTTGAAGATATGTTTCCCGTCCTCGAATTTCCTCGCCAAAGGCTCATCACAATTATTTGTGGAATTGGTTTGAAAACCTTAATTTCTGACCAATTTCTGACCAAGTATTTTAGCATGATTCATATAAGCCATTCTTGCTGCTCATGGCATCGAGTACATTATTTTGCATGATGCTCATTCCAATTAAAATTTTTTCGTTAACAGAAAAACTAAACCCTAAAAAGATTCGAGGACATTAGAATTGAGATGAAACATAGGACAGTAGTAGTAAGAACGCAGACTTCACGTCAGTGTCAGGTGTGTTGTGAAAAGTTTCTCTGGAAAATGAAAAACTAATTGTTCGAAATCAAGTTTCATGAAAGTGAAGTCGTACGTTCTTTAAGTGTGCATAGCAGTTTTATTTTGCTGCAACGGAGTACTCTCATGTGACCGTAGATTTTTATGATCACTGAACCTGTAGGTGCCACTATACCCACTGCGCAGGAATCAATGTAGATCCCGAGACTTATCGGTATGGCCGAAGAGCTGCACTTAAATATAGGGTGTTCTATAGAAAACCAATTCCGTTGCACAAGTCAAGTCCAGAAGTGATGCTTGCTTCCACTCGTGCGAAATCCTCCATAATCATACAGTGGCATTACGACTCACGATCAGCGTCTTTAAGCTGCATAATAAAACTCAGATTGCCACACATCGTGATGTGAAGGATAGGGACGTTGAAGCTCGTGTTTGAGACAAATAATTCAGCAGTAAATCATGTCTTCTAAAATTGTAACATGGACACTGGTCAGATGTGCATCCTAATAACATATCAAGGGCGCCTCACGAGTGGCCACCTCCACTCGGCCTTTATTCTCCGGAGTACAGCGTTTACGTGCATTGCTGAGCGAGCTAAAACAATCGATCCCCTGAATGATTGAGAGACGAACTGCCAACGCTGGCCTTGAGCTTCACGACTTATTGAACAATCGCGATACACGTGCTTCGTGTGCAACACTTGAGGACAACTGGCGTCATGTGCACCACTTGAGGACAACTGGCGTCATGTGCACCAGAGCAAGTGATGTCATGTGCATCTCTTGAAGGAGATTTGGGATCTGAGTTTGGTAAACCACCTTACAGAGAAATTTGCGCCATGCGCATCGCTTCAGTGCAATTTTCGACGTGCACCAATTCACGGAAATTTGCGTCATTTGCACTACGTCGGAGAGATTAGCGTTGTGTGCACATTGCATTGTAATATCCGTCCTGTGCACGATTCCAGCTTAATTTAATTTGTGGTTTGTGGCTATTAGCCTATAAGACGGTCCGTGGTTCTGATGGAATTCTTTCAGGAAGATAATTCAACGTAACTGCAAACGACTATTGACTTCGTAAGAATTTTTCTCCGCAATTTAAATTCAACGTAACTGCAAACGACTATTGACTTCGCAAGAATTTTTCTCAACAATTCAAGTTATCTATTCAATCCACACTAGATTCCACAGAGTATTTCAATTTTCTATTTTTTTAGAAGTGCTGTACTTGGCTTATCGTTGTATTAGGCATTTTTAAATCCTCATACACGTCAGTGACATCCCAATTCGAAAAAACAATCACACATAAGACAACCAAATCCATTGAGCGAGCATGAACATTCCAACGACTTTTGGTTAAGAGTTATGTGTGAATTTCTAAAACATATTCTAAAACAAATTCTAAAACAGATTCGAAAACATATTCTAAAACCGAATCGAAAACAGATTTTAAAACAGATTCTAAAACAGATTCTAAAACAGATTCCAAAACAGAATCTAAAACAGATTCTAAAACAAATTATAAAACAGAGAAGAGACAGGAATCTGTTAGAACAGTTTCAAAAAACGACAGCGAAGATTTTGCAGTGATTCGCTGGCAGCCACAAAATTCGAGTATGACTGAAAACTGACTAAATTCGAGTATCAACTGCGACGTTGGACATGTGCACCATTCGAGAAAAATGAGTGGCAAGTACATCTATTTAGGGTGAAGTGCGATAGTCGAGAGGAGCTCACAACTGGTGGGTAAGGTGCTTACTTTACTACTAGATATCGTTACCCTATTGGCACAATATACTTCGGCCTATATTTTGAAATATAACAATCGAATAGAGCAATAGGAAAGGTTGAGGTGAAATTTTTCCATCTTTATTGATTTTCTACTTAACGATGGTGATATTAATATTCGCTCTACATAACAGCAAACAGTAAACAGATCTATCCAACTTATGAAACTTATATGACGCAGCGAGTATTATTTCACAATTTTGGTTAAAATAAAGTTTTACTGTTTTGTCCCGAATTGGACACAAAACTTTTATTGTGAGATATTAAATGGAAGTTGATGGCTAATTTGCACGATAACGAAGTGTAAAGAAACGCAAACGTGCTCACATAAATGATAAAATAAACCATCCTTATTGCGGTTGAAATATTAAAGCAGAGCACAATGGTGCAAACGGTGCGTGCAGAGAGTATTTAATTACTGTAACCAAAGTCACCATCAAGGGAAGCTATTATTAAATCTTTTGCCACTTGCCGTGACTTACAGATACTCGAAGTATAACCGTACATAAAAAATGGGAGCAAAATAAGCATTTACAAGAGGGTGTGTCATTGCTGGAGCAATGGAGCAAAAGCCGAAACTCAAATGTCACCGGCAATTGTTTTAGATTAAAGAGTGCATTGAAACGCTTTTAAATACACATGGGCTCGGGAAAAGAACGTAATTAGATTCTCTTTACAATTGAAGCGAAATAATTAAAATGTCTTGGCTCTTTCACATACTAATATCACTAATGTACGCAATTTGAATAGAAGCAAGAATTTAAGAAAAGCATAAGTATTCCTGATGGTTAAAATTAAACTTGAATAAAAATTTAGCGATTCAAGCAACGTCTTTTCTTATATGCCGCCAATATTAGAAGTGCATCTGCGTACGTGGAGGATGACAATCATACGTAATCTTTATTCTAGGGTCGCAGAGCATAAGGGCAGGAGTTGTAGGACTGGACAGTTTCTATNTAGTCTAGGGTCGCTGAGCATAAGGGCAGGATCTGGAGGACTGGACAGTTTCTATGGCGCCCCCCTCAAATTGTCTTACCTCGTCCTGGTAGACCTTGGCTTGTTGAGGTCTGCTTCAGAAATTGTCTTAGCTCGTCCTGGTAGACCTGGGTCTGTTGAGGTCTGCTTCAGAAATTGTCTCACCTCGTCCTGGTAGACCTGGGTCTGTTGAGGTCTGCTTCAGAAATTGTCTTACCTCGTCTTGTAGACCTGGGTCTGTTGAGGTCTGCTTCAGAAATTGTCTTACCTCGTCCTGGTAGACCTGGGTCTGTTGAGGTCTGCTTCAGAAATTGTCTTACCTCGTCCTGGTAGACCTGGGTCTGGGCGTCCACACCAGGAGGCGGGCGGTAGACCCGTGGCATAGACCGACCCAAGCGCCCTTCGGTCTGGCTCGCTCCTTGGCTGTTGTTGGAGCCGTCGAGCTGCGCCAAAATAAAGTGATTAGTACACGAATATTTCGAGCGAGAAATAATGACTTCTTTCTTCAGTAATTGCTTACACTAATAATTTTTTCCACTATTGGGAGCTTACGCTAATGATTGTTTAACTAATTATTGCATCACTAATGATCGTCTCTAGCACTGATTTCTTACACTAAGGATTTGCATTTAGTAATGATTTCGTTCACTAATGACAGTTTTCACTAATGATTGATCAATCTAATTATTGCCTGCATTCGTGAGCAAATTTCAAGAATGGCCGCTCTCATTAAGGATTGCTTCCACTAATGATTGTGGTGATCTCAAGAAATGTTATGATGTTAATTGATTTTTACATATTGAGGAACTCATTCATAAAGTTTCTCGTACGTACACATGCATGCACAGTCAGTAGCAATGAACAAATGCAATATCAATCCCGAATTGAATGATCAAGAATTTATCATGTTGATCATCAAAGCACTTGCACTTTGGGTATTCACTTTCATTTCATTTAATAATTAACATCAAAACAATTAAAGCAAAACAACTAAGATTTTTTTTATGACTCCATGAGCGCTGCACTCACACAATTACGAGACTTATATGAATAATTTCCTCCCATCAATTTAGCCATTTCACTAAATATTTCCTCGCTGACAAGTGAAGAGTAATCAATAAAGTTGGTTGTTCTTTACCGGCACATAAGGATGATCGGTCTGGACACACGCATGCACTGCGCTCCGCTGCGCAGCTGACTGGCAATACAAGAAGCGGCGGACACTCATAAAATCACGCGGGTTGTGGCGAGCTCGTGCATTGGTGAACTGCGACTCGTGCGCCGAGCGAACTCTTCTGCCTGCCGAACTGTGCGTTTCCGAGAGGAAATTTGGGTGACGTGAGAAATTGGGTGTAGGTTGACAGTGATTTGAGTGCACACAACGGCAGGGGTGGCAGTCAAATGGGTGAGCATTCAGGTGCGAGGTGTCGACCATGTCAGCGCCCGGTCTCGGCCCACCGAAATAAGGAGTTTGGGTCTCACGTTTAATTGAGTGCAGNAGCTTCCTCTTCAGCTGTAGCTTCCTCTTCAGCGGTTCCTTCTTCAGCGGCTTCTTCTTCAGCAGCTTCCTCCTCAGCAGCTTCCTCCTCAGCAGCTTCCTCTTCAGCGGCTTCCTCTTCAGCGGCCTCTTCTTCAGCGGCTTCCTCTTCAGCGGCCTCATCTTCAGCAGCTTCATCTTCAAAACCACCTTTGTCCTCAACAGTTGCTGCTTCCTCTTCGCCTGGCTCTATTTCAGCAGGAGCTTCTTCTCCGTCAGCGGTGGCTTCTTCTTCCTCTGCAGCGGCCTCCTCTTCAGCTGCCTCCTCTTCTGCAGCTTCTTCTTCTTCATCACCTTTCTCATCAACAGTTGTGGCTTCTTCTCCTCCCTCGGCAAATGCCTCGCTCTCAGCTCCTACCTCGCTAGGCTCTTTACCTTCCGGCTCTTCCCGGGTTTCTGTAGAGAAAAAGAATTACAAGTTTCCGTAATCTTTAAATTCTCCTAAAAAACTAGTACCAGAATTTCAATGCTAGAATATGTAATTCGATATTTATTCTCTTGATGAAAATTGTGCGCTGATAAGTGAACGTAGTTGAAAGACAAGTTCATGCGTTTATTGAGATATCCAAAGGGAAATACACTAAGCATGAGGCTATATAAGAGGAAATTTATTGCGAATAAAAATACCGTGCCATGCAGTGTGTTCTATATAAAAATTCAAATAAATTTAGTTCATAAATGGGTTGCGAGTCTAAACATCAGGTATTTAGCATCGTCTGGCATCTAGGCAAATATAACATAAGATTGTGTTGACGAATTAGGAAAATGATTTGGTGTCAACAAAGAAAACACAAACGTGATGCAAGAACAAACCGTCCCGGCGTTGACTGCATGCACAATTCACTCTAGCACTACATGCACTCAAAATCCGATTCACAATGAATCCCGGCATGAATTGTATAAGCAGTCTTCGTATCAATTGCTCAAACAATTCCGATGTTATGTATACAAAAATGGAGTTAACCAACCAGACTCGCATTATGTGCATAGGCAGTCAATGATACATAGATTCAAGTAATTCATTTAACAACACTGGCATTTAAACGAAATAATTAAACAATTCTAACACTTTTTATATGTGTCTAGTATAAATTGAACAGGCAGTCTAGCCAGTCTTGCTTGATTCATTTGGTCTGGCCTTCGATGTATGTTATTTTCGGAGAGTGTCATTTTCTATCACAGAATTCATACAAACGAACACAAGACCCCAATTGGATTTATATGAATGAGATCTTTAAATGATCACAATTCGAACTGGAAGTATGGGTTAGACCCGACATGGCGGTTACGAAGAAAATCAATCAATTATGAAAAGCTCTGCAGCCCTCACCGCGTACCTGTGGTGGCCAGGATAGATTGCAGCCTCCAGCAAGACTTGGGGAACATGATTACTCTAACTTGTCTTAGAAATTGTGTAAATTTAGAGAGCGTAACTTTTTCTATCAGTTTAGTTTAATTCAATATTTCTCGCAATATTTATGTAATTTAATAATTACAAATCGTTCGTGATAGCTGAAGGTTTTTACAACAATATTCTTCCATTTTGAAAGTTAAATTTCTGTTCAATAGTGTAAAATGCATCACTTGATGTGGAGAAAAATGTATGATACTTCATCTAAAGAGATAAAAGTTTTCAGCTTCCATACTACAAAATCACATGAGAAACGCTGCGCCCGCAAGCGAACGAAAGTAGTATGCAAATAGTCAAGCAATGTTTTGTTTTGTTGAGTTTGCCATCGACATTATATCCCTGAATTTAACTTTCAGTCACGTATGTACCCGGTAATAGCACAAAAAGACTTGAAGATAATAAAATCATTTTGGGCCAAAATTTTACTCGAGATATACTTGATAGAAAACCATTTCGGGCGAATCGTTATCGTTAATTATATTTCCCGGCTCAATGAGATTTTAATATATTACTATGCAACTCACGAATTATGAAGGGCTACTCATAAAAAAATTTTTGCTGCATTTCGTTGTACCAGCATTATGTATGCTTTTTCAAAACACATATATGACAGTAGCTTCAGAAAAATTCAAGAAAAAAACGAGTAAAAAATACCATTTAGCATCCCAGTGAAAACTGCGGTATTGGTCGACTCACACAAGTGGGTTCCCAAAAATAAACCGGTCAAAATTAGGTAAATTGAAAATTTTTGATCCACATGAATATTTTCGAGCATATATTTCCCGTCCTCGAACTCCCACGCAGGATGCTCATCACAATTATTTGTGGAAGTTGTTTGAAAACCTTAATTTCTGACCATTTCAACGTATTTTAGCATGATTCATGTAAGCCATTCCTGCTGCTCATGGCATCGAGTTCATAATTTGCATGAGGCTGATTCCAATTAAAATTTTTCGTTAACAAAAAACTTAGAACCTAAAAAGTTCACAGAGCAGTAGAATCGAGATTATACATAGGAAAGTATTAAGAACGTGAACTTCACGGTAGTGTCAGGTGTGTTGTGAAAAGTTTCTCTGGAAAATGAAAAACTATTTGTTCGAAACCAAGTTTCATGAAAGTGAAGTCGTACGTTCCTTAAGTGTGCAGAGCAGTTTTATTTTGCTACAACGAAGTGCTCTCATGTGACCGTTGATTTTATGGTCGGTGAACACGTTGGCTGCCACTATTCCCACTGCACAGGAATCAATGTAGATACCGAGACTTATCGGTATGTCCGAAGAGCTGCACTTAAATATAGGGTGTTCGACAGAAAACCAATCCTGTTGCACAAGTCAAGTCCAGAAGTGATGCTTGCTTCCACTCGTGCGAAATCTTCCATAATCATACAGTGGCATTACGACTCACGATCAGCGTCTTGTCATCTTTGCCGTAAGTAATCCCGCACTTCTTGATGCCAGTTTCTCTTGAAAGCCACTTTCGTGATCTTCCCTCTGGCGCGACGACTGTACAGCTCTGGATATTTTTTCTTGTTTTTGACTCGCGATCTCTTCTTCATGTCTCTACTTTTGTACTTATTGAGTATCATCCCGTTCCTCGTATCGTATGCGAGAGGTATTATCGGTGGATGTATGTGATCATCGACGCTTTCGTTGTCTCTTCGTTTTCTTCGCTTCATTTTAAATTTCATCCCGTTTCTAATTTTGTGCGATAGCGGCAAGACATGTGGAGAACATCTTTCCCTGATAGCGTCATCGTCGTTTTGTCCATTCGTTTTGTTGCGCAACTGTCGTTTCGATGCACTTTTTCTTATTTTCACATTGTTTACTCCAGATCTATGAATTGGCCTTGCGGCTACATCGGCATATGTGGGCTTTCTAATGACAGTAAACGCTATAACAACGGGCGGAGTGGCCGGCCGGACGAAAGCTTCTTCCTCCTCCGAGAAGAAAACTTCGTCTTCTATATCTTCGACCGTCATAATTTCTTCAATCGGTGTATATTTCGGCAATAGAATAAATTTTCCAAACACGATATCTGAAAAATTATCACAGAACATCATTACTACTTACTTAAAACTTCATCCGCAGAATAAACAAGATAAAACAAAAGTAAAACTTATGACAACAATATTTTTTGCACATCAAGTTCATGAAGTAAGAAATTTTGGAATGCAAAGTCAAAAATCAGCCCGTAATTGATGTAGACTTCCGACAAATTGCGATTTAATGAATAAATTCAAATAACGGGCAAAAATTAACGCATTTACATCGAAGTGTGGGACGTTCACAATTTAAATTGATCAAGGAAGAACAACGCTCATAATTGCACAAAAGCTGCATAATAAAACTCAGATTGCCACACGTCGTGAGGTGAGCGATAGGGACGTTGAAGCTCGTGTTTGAGACAAATAATTCAGCAGTAAATCATGTCTTCTAAAATTGTAACATGGACACTGGGCAGATGTGCATCCTAATGACATATCAAGGGCGCTTCATGAGTGGCCACCTCAAGCCGGCCTTTATTCTCCGAGGTACAGCGTTTACGTGCATTGCTGAGCGAGCTAAAACAATCGATCCCCTGAATGATTGAGAGACGAACTGCCAACGCTGGCCTTGAGCTTCACGACTTATTGAACAATCGCGATACACGTGCGTCGTGTGCACCTCTTGAGGACAACTGGCGTCATGTGCACCACTTGAGGACAACAGGAAACATGTGCGCCACTTGAGGACAACTGGCGCTATGAGCACCAGGACAAGTGATGTCATGTGATCTGAGTTCGGCAAACCACTTTGGAGAGAAATACGCGCCTTGCGCATCACTTCACGTTAATTTTCGTCACGTGCACCAATTCACGGAAACTTGCGTCATTTGCACAACATCAGAGAGATTTTCGTTATGTGCACCACTGCCGTGTATGAATATCCGTCCTACACACGGTTCCAGCTTAAGTTAGTTTGTAGTTTGACGCTATTGACTCCGTAAGAATTTTTCTCTGCAATTCGAGATATCTATTCAATCCACGCTGGATTGCACTGAATATTTAAAATTTTCTGTTACTTTGGAGGAATGTTCTATTATCGCGAAGTAAAGTGCGGAGCATTCCTGGTTGATATTTTACTTTTTGGCCAGCCAAGTGCTGTATTTAGCTTATCGTTAGGCTAGGCATTTTTAAATCAGCATACACGTCAGTGACATTCCAATTCGAAAAAACAATCGCACATAAGACAGCCAATCCATTGAGCGAGAATGAATATTCCAAAGACTTTCGGTTGAGTGTTTTGTTAGAAATTCTAAAACAGATTCTAATACAGATTCTAAAACCGATTCTAAAACAGATTCTAAAACCGATCAAACAGATTCGAAAACAGTTCCTAAAACATATTCTAAAACAGATTCTAAAACAGATTCTAAAACAAATTCTAAAACAGATTATAAGACAGAGAAGAGACAGAAATCTGTGAGAACAGTTTCAGAAAGCGACAGCGAAGATTTCGGAGGTGGTGCGCTGGGCAGCCACAAAATAACGACGCGGTTTGGGCAACAGAGCTTGGTGCAGACTTTGCAACTGTCTGAATTTGAGCATCAACTGCTATGTTGGACATGTGCACCATATGAGAAAAATGAGTGGCAAGTACATCTCTTTAGGGTGAAGTGCGATATTCCAGAGGAGCTCACAGCTGGTGGGTAAGGTGCTTACTTTACTACTAGATATCGTTACCCAATTGGCACAATATAGTTCGGCCTATATTTTGAAATATAACAATCGAATAGAACAATAGACAAGCTAAAGGTAAACTTTTTCCATCTGGATTGATTTTCTTCTTTATGATGGTAATATTAATATTAGCTCTACATAACAGCAAACAGTGAAAAGATCTATTAAACTTATGAAACTTATATGACGCAGCGAGTATTATTTCACAATTTTTTAGTAAATAAAGTTTTATCGTTTTTCCCGAATTGGACACAAAACTTGTATAGTGAGATATTAAATGGAAGTTGATGGCTAATTTGCAAGATACCAAAGTGTAAGAAACGCAAACGTGCTCTCATAAATGATAAAATAAACCATCCTTATTGCGGTTGACATATTAAAGCAGAGCACAATGGTGCAAACGGTGCGTGCAGAGAGTATTTAATTACTGAAATTACGTACCATCGTCTTTTGCTCGCTCCTGTTGAAAACAAATTAATGGCATTAAATATGGTAAAATGTACAAATAAAATTTTTCTAAACTTCAAACATGTGGGTCTTGATACTCCTTCAACAATAAATACTCGAATGTAAGAACGGCGTCATCGGCGTATTAATGTGTTGATCTGTCAACCTGTAAATTCAGTAACAAAACCCGAGATTGCAATCATAACAATTCGATCAAAGAGAACTCTGATTTATTAAATTCAGCCTGGCAAGTCAACTTCCTAAGTCGAATAGAACCAAAATTCTGTAGTGTAGAAAATTATTTCCTGACTAAATATTATTTCCGTAATGGATTTCCATAATTAAATAATACAATCAATCGAAATGAATTTGCATAATTAAATAATACCATCAACCGAAAATATATACCGAAAGGAGAGAACACTTTTTACGGAGTTTAGTCTCTGCGTTTACCTATTTGGATAAACGGTTAATTGCTCAAGAAAAGATCTTGGAAAGAATATTCAACAAATTAAATTTTTTGCACTCACAGGCCAGACGGTGACCTCCTGCAGGATACGAGTAGTCCTGCTCTCCTCAGCCTGTTCCTCCAGCACCACCTCCAGCACGGCCTCCCTCAGCGTCCTGGCCACGAGCGTCCCCAGCAGCACCTCTTCCATGGCGGCCTCACCCGCCGCCTCCAGCTGGGGGGATGAGAGAGAGTCTTGAGTAATAGAGGCGTCCTTAGTGAACTCTCCCCTTCTATATAAGGTTGTATGCGTCATGTATGCGTCATGTAGGTGTTTATTTCACTCAAACTAAAGTTTTGTAAATTATCTTTAGATGTATGGAACAATAGAGGCGTCCTTAGTGATCAACTCTCCCCTTCTATATACGCGCATGTGTCATGTAGGTGTTTATTTCATGCAAACTAAGTTATCTTTAGATGTATGGAACAATAAAGGCGCTCTTCTTGAACTCTCCCCTTCTATAAAAGCTTATGTGTCATGTGGACGTTTATTTTATGCAAACAATATGTAAAAATGCATGGAATAATAAGGGCGTCCTTCAGAGGCCAATAAATTCATTTCAAAAGCGGCATGGTTGTATAGTACAGGCGTTTATCATACGCTACGCCACGTCCATCTAGCGCCGAAGTGGGAAATATGTTTTCATATCATGAGCTTTGTACATGATAAATGAGCAGTAAAAGCATACCATACCCGGTAGCAGCAATAGTAAAATTGCTGTAATATAATACCAGCATTTATTGCGAAAAGTGAGGGTAAGAGGCAATTTGAGCAGTATTATTATTTCAAGCCTCTTATTATTGCCAAGGTATTATCAGAAATTGTCTTACCTCGTCCTGGTAGACCTGGGTCTGGGCGTCCACACCAGGAGGCGGGCGGTAGACCCGTGGCATGGACCGACCCAAGCGCCCTTCGGTCTGGCTCGCTCCTTGGCTGTTGTTGGAGCCGTCGAGCTGCGCCAACATAAAGTGATTAGTACACGAATATTTCGAGCGAGAAATAATGACTTCTTTCTTCAGTAATTGCTTACACTAATAATATTTTTCGCTATTGAGAGCTTACCCTAATGATTGTTTCACTAATGATCGCTTCTATCGCTTCTAATAATGATTTCTTACACTAATGATCGCATTTACTAATTATTTCGTTTAGTAATGACAGTTGTCACTAATGATTGTATAATCTAATTATTACCTAAGTTCGGGCACAAATTTCACGAATGGCCGCTTTTACTAATGATTGTTGTGATCTCAAGAAATGTTATGATATTTCTTGATTTTTACACATAAAGGAAATCATTCATCATGTTTCTCGTACTTACACAGTCCGTAGCAATAAGCAAATGCAATATCAATCCCGAATTGAATAATCGAAAATTTATCGTGTATTATCAAAGTATTTTTTATCGTTTAATTTATCATGTACGAGTATTATTATATATTTATCAGAGCAAGTCACTTGCACTTTGATATTCACTCTTCATTTCATTCAATGATTAACATCAAAATAATGAAAGCAAAATACACATAGAGATTATTTTGTTATTCGACTCAATGAGCGCTGCACTCACACAATTGCGAGATTTATATGAATAATTTCCTCCCATTAATTTGGCCATTTCACTAAATATTTCCTCGCTATCAATTGAAGAGCTATCAACAAAGTTGGTTGTTCTTTACCGGCACATAAGGATGATCGGTCTGGACACACGCATGCACTGCGCTCCGCTGCGTCGCTGACTGGCAATACAAGGAGCGGCGGACACTCATAAAATCACGCGGGTTGTGGCGAGCTCGTGCATTGGTGAACTGCGACTCGTGCGCCGAGCAAACTCTTCTGCCTGCGGAACTGTGCGTTTCCGAGAGGAAATTTGGGTGACGTGAGAAATTGGGTGAATGTTGACAGCGATTTGAGTGCACACAACGGCAGGGGTGGCAGTCAAATGGGTGAGCATTCAGGTGCGAGGTGTCGACCATGTCAGCGCCCGGTCTCGGCCCACCGAAATAAGGAGTTTGGGTCTCACGTTTAATTGAGTGCAGGTTCTTGTGATTGAAATTCAGTTCATTAATTCTATTTAATGCTCTATAATTTTGTGAACTTGTGTGGGCGTCATTCATGATCAATGCTCCAAGGTCATTCGAACTTTCAAGCAAATCAGTGAAAACTCTGTGATCAATCGTGCGAGAATTGCATACACTTTGAGTGAAATCATTCAATGAATTGTGTACGCCATCCCTAGGTGGAAAATCACTCATCACTCTTAGTTCAGGAACACGTGGAGAACTTTGTGTGTGTTTAGTGTTGTTAACAGCAGAGTAGTGGTGCAAGACATCAAAGTTTTGTGTGTTTGATGCTTGTAATGCAGCGAGGTGCCGGTGCATCAAGTCCTCCTCCCTCTTGTTCTGTACCCGCAGGTTGAGGCGATGCAGCATCGAAGAGTTGCTGGAGTAGAGGTTGCTGAGCCCGTGCTTCTCGCGCTTCAGACGCGCGCGGGCCTCCAGCTTCTCACGGAACTCGGCACGCCGGATCTCCGGGTTTTGTTGGATGTCGTACGTGAATGATTGGTACTGCAAATACGAGAAGCGCGTTATTTTCCTGGTGTTACTTAAAGTTATTATTACTTATTGTTAGTTACTATTGTTATTATTATTATTGTTATTGTTACCTATTGTTATTGTTCCTTATTGTTAGTTTTTACTTAGAGTTAGCAACTCAGTAAAGGTTGTATGCATTTACGTTGGTTACATATTATACCATAAATACAAATATGTTTATTGTAACGACGTTACATCATAATAACTTGGTTAAGAAACGATCGCTTTGAAAAAATTATAGCAAGATGGATATATTCATTATATAACGTATTTGATTATGCCGTCGTATCCAACTGTTAACCTTAGTCTTCGATGAACATGATGAAAGTGTATAAGTAGTAAAACACTTATTTTCCATAACATGAAATTAAAAATTTTCCATAAATAATTTAAAATAATTAATAATTATAGAGCAAATAACAGTCCTACCATGAATGTCAATTAGTTACATGAATTTTAGTGCCTACTGAAAGGAAATGAAATGTTCTAAGTGAAATCCATGAATATTCTCTTAACAGACTCGTGGACGACGCGAGTGAAGGCAAAGCGTCGCAGTTTTTCTTACAATTAATACGGTATTGTTATCGCATTAAAGGTAGAGAATCTAGAGATAAGGAAATTGTATTCATCTTCGAAACCACGCCATGCATTGAACGGAAATACAGTTTACGTCATTAATGTGTGATCAAATATTCAGTTGATTAGGTTAAGCAGTCGACTTTCTCCGTATAATAACAAATGGTCAAGTAAATTTTAAATACATAATTCAATACGGTTAAGGAAAGTCTATATAGCATATTCAAGGTCACAAACAATCGCGTTTACTCATTACTGTTGGCAATGAACTTGAGACGAATTAAATAATGTGCTTCAGATAACGCAATTGATAATAATTTAGCGCGAGGGCAGTTACGCCTCATATCTTCAAGTGCGTCCTTTAAGAGGAACATTAGGACGAGCAGTTTTAATCCTTACAAAAAGAACACATTTTTTGCAATCATCTTCAAATGTATAGATTTGCATCATGAGCAATTTAATTTTTGTGCCAATCTGAATATTTTAACTTTCATAGTAGATCGTTCATATAAGTGAACATAGGTTATTACTACAACCCAAAGAATGTAGTAATATATGCTATGGTCATAAGAAATGCGCTCACGAAGCAGCATCATTTATGTACTTTGTAATGAGGTTGAGCGATGCTTCAACAAATACTTCACTAATTTAGATAAATCAATTTCCTGTCCCAAGATACACTAAAGTTAGTGACATCTTTACTCCTATATTGAACTTTAGCCAGAAGCTTTGCTAAGGAACTATTCCACTAATAAGACAACAGCAAACTAGTTTTAACAGAATAAATGAAACTTGATGTTTCCCTTGCTAATATCAAATGATGGCATATAGTATTTTTCATAACAATAACTAATATAAGAAACGAGCGAATTTGAAGTCGTAGGAAACAGAAGGTTAGACGTGAAAGGAATTTCTTGTTGAAAAAGAAAATTCCAGTAGGGAAGGGAAATCTGAGGACGTTACTTTTTATTTCAACCAAAGAAAAAAGCTTTAATAATATCGCTGTAGCCTGAGAACATGAATGTGATGCGCTGCGTTGAAATTTGATTATATTTACACTAGTAACTCATGGCTTTGAAATGATACCTGCAGTGGTCCTTGTTAATTAATAAAGTTAACAGGCGTGCGCATGGGATCTCGGCAATTTGGTAGGCCAAATTGCTCTATAAGCCAAATTAAATATAAACTTTGGAGGTTTCTCCTAATAATTGATCTGCTCGTCTAAAATGAGCAGATTCATAAAATATTTCAGCCTTTCAGGGAAAAACAAACTTGGGCAAAATTATACCTGTTGATTACGATTACGAGTGCTCGTTGGTGTTCGACAAAACTTCCCAGTAACGCTGTTTGTAAGGTAAATCTTTATTATAGTTTAGAATATGGGTACAAAATAATGATGTGCAGTAAAATAACTGGTATGTAGCACCCACCTGGTCCGGGGAAAGCGACCGCGCGTTGGCAAAGTAGGGGTTCCATTTTGGCAGGTCGGACTGCGTCATCGCATAGGAAAGAGAAGCAGGGAAAGCATGTAAATACAACGTCAAAATATACGAGACTCTATGTTCCACTTGGCAATAGTCGGAAGCTGTTCTAAGAAGCGATAATTATTATTAAAATAATTGTATGTTATCGTTAGCTAAAAAAAATATAAATATAATAAAAAACAAGCAATTATTAATTCTAAATAAGTCGATTATAAATTAATATCAAATAAAATGAACAATAATTACCAATTATGTTGAGTGATAAATTATAATTAAAATTAAAAATTGAGTCAAATAAAAAAAAGAGAACAATAAAAAGTGGCGTAAATCTTATTAAGAGAAAATAAAACGAAGTAAATAAAGTTGACTAATGAATAGAAATTGTTGAAAATAAATAAGAATTAATTTTAATAGTTAACATAAGCGGCATTCAAAACTACGTGCGTTTTCAAGTTGTAGCAACATACCGTGGAAATAATGATTTAGAGAAACGAATGTACATTACAATACCTGAAGTTATATCAATGTAAATTAGTATATTTTGATGACATATTTACGGCAGAATAGTAGAGTAAATTTAATTCAATAACATATTACACTAACGGCATGACATGTAAAAACTCAGAGATAGTTAAAATTTTAATAAGAAAATCGTAGCTCAACGCGAAAACTATTGAAAAAAATTCATAACTAACAAACCGCTACCGCTCTTTATTTAAATCGAGAATATTAAATGCTAATTTAGCCAACGAGTTACTACAACAAAAAATTAAAAATAACGAGTTAACGAGTTAAAAATAACGAGTATTTCATTCCACAATACTAGTTTATTAGGTGAAGAAAGATCACCATGAAATAATTCATCAAATATTTTCACAACTAGGGTCCTGAAAGCTACACCAACATCAACAATACTAATACCCTGTCTCGGGAAAATTTATTCATTATCAAAATCTACATGCTAGATCTAGACATTCACTCTAGAATGCGTTTAACAATGATAATAATAGTAATAGTTTCAAATGGACTAAAATAATACAACGTCAAAATATACGAGACTCTATGTTCCACTTGGCAATGGTCGAAAGCTTTTCTATTAAGCGATAATTATTATTATTGAAAAGTAATTGCATGTTATCGTTAGCTGAAAGAATAACAAATAATAAAAACAAGCAATTATTAGTTCCAAATATCTTAATCATGAATTAGTATCAAATAAAATGAACAATACTTGCAAATTAAGTTGAATGATAAATCATAATCAAAATTAAAAATTTAGTCAAATATTAACGGAGAATAATAAAAGTGGCGTAAATCTTATTCAGTGAGAATAAAACATGTAATCAAAGTAAACAAATAGAAACCAATTTAAAATAAATAATAATTAATTATAATAATTAACATAAGCGCCATTCAAAACTACTTACGGTAATCAAGCTATAGCAACATACCGTGGAAATAATGATTTAAATGCATGAAGAATACATTAGATTACATGAAGTTATATCAATGTTAATTAAAACATTTTGATGAAAAATTTCCGGCAACAGAATAATCAAATTTCGGTGAAGAATAATCACCGTGAAATAATTCATTAAATATTTTCAACTCTAGAGTCCTGTGAGCTACACCATCAACAATACTAAAACCCTGTCTCGGAAAATTTATTTATCGTCAAAGTCTAGATACTAGATCTAGACATTTACTCTAGAATGCGTTTACCAATGATCGATAATAATAGTAATAGTTTCAAATGGACTAAAAAAATATCTATTTAACGTGTTGGGGCACCGCAACGGACAGTTCTATTGAGAAGTAAGCATGAGTCGCGCGCCTTGTTAACAACTTCATGACTTTGTATCAACTTCACTCACCAAAGTTATGACTTTGAAAATGAATTGATCATTATTACGAGATAATTCATAAAGAAACTCACCAAATCACGACTGCCTCGATGACTCCTTCTGCAATAAGGAGGAACTTTGTATTAGTTAACATGGATTATAAAAAAACGTTTTCTGATAATTTACTCTGAACTCGCAATGTTTATGTACAAACCAGGTTGGGCAACTTTTTAGCTATTTCAAATAATTACATAGGACAATTTCTTTAAATTGTTCTCTGGCCTTATATATCAGAAAAGAATCAAGCAATAATGTCTGTTCGTAAAGTTTATCACATGTGAACAGAAAGAATAACATCATCGTCGATGAAGAATGCGGCATAATAAGCAGATTAATAAATAATGGATATGAAAGGTCGTCATCCGTGAGCTTTGCCAGGTTATCAAAACGTTGAGATGATGTGGAGAAATTCACGTCTAAAATTTATAGAGTCACAATTACAGAGTGAATTTGGACTGCCGCATGATAATAACAGCCAAGACGTAATTAAAGAGCGTGCAAAACAAGCACTAATAAACTTAGACGATAACATGACTCTTCTTGATCGCAGGCTCTTTATCTTAGAGAGGATCCTCTATGAAGGCCCCCATGTGATCGATGGGCCTTGGCACATGAATTCTAAATTCAGCACAAATTTTCAACCTAAGAATAAACTTAAGTCTAGACCGACCTAGTACTATTCACGTCTTCGTTTATTGACAGTATTATGGTGCATTCATTATTCATCTCTGGAATACATAGACAGATTACGCGATTGACTAGAGGGGAATAGAATAGAAACACAAGTATGAAACCCGTCACAATCTACACCTGTCTCAGAACAAAGCAATATTTTGTGATGCTTATAGAGACGCTTTCTTCCTACAGAAATTTTAGACCACAAATTGATACTCGATGATGCAGGGCATTCAATTGGCTTCAAATTTTACAGGTACCAAATTTTCGTTTCAATCGAAATAAAACTCTTAAGAACCGACGATTGGGTAATCAAGTTTTTAGTTGGGTAATCCTTTATTCAAGAGTTAAACGCACTACAGAAGATCTTACGTAATCTGTCTCCGCTGATTTAACCTTTTTTCTTCGGCCATTGGCCCACATTATCCTGGTCCTGCTGCATCACATTTATTCGTATTTTGTTAAATCTTAACGTCATAAACGAAATAATGCACTTCATTTCAGCATAATTTCATGATTTCCTGAATTCCTTGCAATTTCAGCATTAATTCAACAGCGATGAGGCCTAAGAATGCACTTGCCCTACAAAATGTATACATAAACGGCCTGTTAAAACTTGATGTTAAACTGACGACTCATGCCTTCATGGATATGCTAAGTCGAGTGCTTCATTATCACGCGCATGCAAAGCCAGCAAGACATGCTTCATTAATTATGGTTCCATGACCCAATTTGTTGCAAGCAACATACGGACATTTTTGCAGCCTCGATGGCGATCAACATTTTTGTCGTCTCAATGGTGATCAAGTCCTCAACATGCATTCAGAACATATCCACGCATGATTCAAGCGATAGTTCATTCACTAACATTTAATCTGAACATTAACAGTGACATGTAATCTGACTCTGACATGTAATCTGCCATGTCCTCTGAATTTATCGCGATTAACATTGCGCATTAGAAAAGATACGTTCATTTCAATTTCACAATTATAAATCTTCCGTAGTGTTGTAAAAGAATTTTTGCGTGTATAGCACCCTGCTTTATTGAGTGGTCAGAATTTCTCCTCTCTTCTCCCGAGTAATTGAGAGACTTACCCAAACCTGAACCCAGACTCTTACAAAACAGCGAGTTGAATAACAAGCTTTAATTTCAATTAAAAATGTCCAAATTCATGATTGCGAACGTTATGTGTTGATAGGTAAAATATACATGTATTCCCAAGCGGGTGGCAACTGCAAGCACGGTTTTATCGACTTGGTAATATATTGGTGCCCTTTTCCCAGTTGCGCACCAATGGTCATTTCTGATAATTCACGTAATATTAATGTATAACTGAAGTGAAAATTCATGTTAACTGTTATGTTAAAATACATTCTGATCATGATTATTCAATTTTAGAGGCCTTACAACTACACTTCCTACCGTACCTAAGAAATTAACCTTCCGTTAACAAATATGTGAACATAAATACCGTCCTCAAAATTAATGTTATTGCTGTACGAGTCTTCAGTTGTTCACAGCCGATTGTAAAGAATTTTAAGGCTAAGACACGGCTCATTTCATAGAAGATAACCATACAGTATTTAAGAGAGACCAAAAAATTTTGTATGCATTTTTGTAAACAAATGACAATTGGGCAGCAGTATAATTGATCCCAGCTTGAAATTCTGGAACTATCCGTTGTTCAACTACTTATGTATATGAAATAAAGTTACAAACGTTGCTTAAAAAGTTCGTTTAAAGAAAACAAAATTATCCGTCCTTCATCATCTCAGGACTACAGAGCGATACAAGTGTTCCAGTTAATCCTTACCGCAATAAATCTCTAAAACGTCCTGTGGTCGTAATAGCATAGCAATTTGCGACAAACGATCCACGAAAGCCAAGGAAGAAGATAAAGGCTGCCCCAAGATTCAGGTGCACGCATCATTCATGTTGCCTGTCATCAACTTCTTGACAACAGCACGTGAAAACTATATTGAGTTGATCCGGCATTAAGAAAGAAAGTAGGCAACGAAGAGTCAAATCAAGAGAGACAAAATAATTGGTTTGGAATAAATACCATGTATAAGAACGCAAAAATTTACCTACTGCAGGAAAATAGCTAACGTTGAGGTTTACCTCGAATATATTTCAAATATGAGCATACGAAAAGCAGAAAAGATACAAGAGAAAACCAATGGAAAAAATAAATTTGCTATGTATTTGTGCATACAATTCGAATCAAACTAGCAGTAAAAATTAATAATTGAATGTAATATTGAAATGTACACATAGAAAGAGGAGTATTAGCGGGTAATAAGTTCACGAAATCAATACAATATCTTGCCATTAGTATTCGATTGTTTTAGCCATTCGTACGTTTTGAGAACAAATTAACTTCATAATTTTTTCGTACCCTTAAACTCGCTGGGTGTCTAAACAAACATGTCTTTTCAACTCTTTAAATTCGATTACAAGCGGTGTAAATCTTTCAAGCAATGTCATGCAGGGAGGAAAATAAAATTTTTAGCGCTGGACAAAAAATTCAAAACGAGCTCTTTGACAAATATCAATGTTATTTTGAATTTGTTTTCCTATAAATAGAATTATTACGATAACGTCGCATTAATTCTTTTCAAGTGAAGTAAAGTCGAATATAATTAATTAAATTTCGACATCCATGCCAGTGAGGTCTAGCGTAGAGCCTCCCTCAGGAATGTGACCCCGAAACACGGTCGGGGGCGAGGGTTGGACGAGGGCCGGGAATGTCGGCATCGTATCATCGGCGACCGCCGTGCGCTGTCGTCATGGCTGCGTGGCGAGTGTCATGGCAAACTCAATGTTAATGTCAGGGTTCGTGTGCACTGAAGAATATTCGGCAAGGGTTGAGACTTGAAAATATTTATTTATAGGAGTTTATGAGAAGGCCTTGCCTAAAACTATAACGCAGACAAAAGAACTAGCCGTTAGCCTCTATAGCAAGCACGTGTGAGTGTTAACACAATCAATCTATATGGATTAGTGGACGCCAAATCCGTTGAAACAGACTATAAATATAAAACAAAACAAAAACTTGGGTATACACACAAAGAACAGCATTCGCTATATGTCAATGGTAACAATTTGTCAAAAAATGAATGTTGGGACGGTCTTACATGCTGGAATTACAAATACAAACTCAAGTTCCAAACTCAACATGTTGCAAGAGTGACTTGACTTTGGCTCACGACCCATCAACCGAAGCTAATTTTAGACGGGGTATGTTTGCTCTGGACCATAATCGAGGATGAGTTTATTTTTCGAGGTACTTCCAGACGACAATGTTAGGGATGCATCAATGTCACCAATGCTATACCTACCGAAATGTTAGGGATGCATCAATGTCACCAATGCTATACCTACCGAAATGTTAGGTATGCATCAATGTCGCCTATGCTAAACCTAACGAAATGTTAGGTATGCATCAAAGTAGCATATTCTATGCCTACCGAAATGTTAGGGCTGCATCAATGTCACCAATGCTATACCTGTCTCTTATACACATCTAGATGTGTATAAGAGACAGNAGCCTGTCTCTTATACACATCTAGATGTGTATAAGAGACAGAACTTGGCCTCACTGTGGAGGCCGTCGCGATGGGCGCTCCATGGCGACGACAGGCGGCCTCGATACAATGATTATACCATCACCGCCCAGCTCATGATACTTGTACAATCTTATTTTGAACATAAATGTTAAACACCTATTCATAAATGAATATTGGTCATTGCATGGCAGGAATAATTCAAGACTTTGATTATTTATTCATCTAAGTGGTTAATTACTGTCTAAAGCATGTGATTGCCACCTCCAGTCATTCGTAATGATAGCTTTCTTATTGGTTTTCAAACATAAAAAACGTTTCTGTAAGTAAAATTAATCTCATAGCTATTTACTTTTGTATGCATTGCTTATAAAATAGAACTGCATGGTTATTAAGCTTTACAAATTTAATGTTAATATACAAGAAAAATATAAAAACTACATTTTTTTCTTCTTACCGTAATATATTTTAATCTAAAAACGCCTGAAAATATTCAGGTATGACCTCAGAATTAATCGTAAAACCGGTTGATTGACGGTCAATTTCGCGACTCTAATGAGATCAAAAGCTTTTCATCACCGAAGAATGCCCTGAAATGAGCGGACAATACCAGCACATCTGTCGCTCCACATGCAAAACACTCTTAATCGCATCTGAACACTGCAATGAGATCTATAATCCAGCGCTTCTTTGTCTGCGGTGACCTCCTTTGCTATCTGAATCATGTTAAATGATGCCTGGAAGATGTTTTTGCGTGGGGTTGCGATGCTAAATCCATAAATTGAACCAGTTTGCCAAAATCTAGCGCAATCGAG